AGAGAGAGAGAGAGAGAGAGTATATCTATATCTACAGATATAGAGATGTATATCAATATATATAAGGAGAGAGAAAGCAAGTGCTCAGGCAGGAGAAAGATAGGCATTCTCCTCTTTTGCAATTTATAGTCTCTGAAACCCCCCTTGGAGAGTCAGCTATGAGTCAGTTCTGACTTGCAGGCACATAATAACAACAGCAACATGTGTGCATATATATTTCAACTCTTCAAGCACCTCCTTTAGTGAGAGCTTGTAGTGGGAGCAGGAAATCTTAGTCTTCTCTCTGGGTAATAATAGATTAAATAGATGAAATAAATGCAATTTGAAATGTGTCCTTAGGAATTCTCTTCTGCTCCATTCATTTTCTTTCTTTAAAAAGATACCATTGCAGGGAGAGAAAAGAGCACCCCTCAATGGAAATTAGACCAAAATAGCTCATCTAATCAAGTGCTGGGGCCAGGGATTTAAACCCAAACAAGCAAAGCAATTCCACGTTAAAGAGTAAAATCTATCCCGGCCGCCTGCTGAGCCCTGGCGGAGCAGGAACTCGAGCAGAAGGGGGCCTCTCGAGCCGTCTGTGTCACAAAACCCAGGGGCAGACACTGCCTGGAGACTGCAGTTGCTCAAGATGGAAATAATCCATACTGAGAACCCCAAGGCCTTTACGGCGCACTTCGCTGCTAAGGGAGTGAAAATTGCATCATCTCCTGCTCCATTTACTGGTTTTCAGTCAGTAATGAGTCTGGAGCCACCAGAGGAATGAGCGGGTGCGTGCTTGGGCTGGCAGCCTCTCTGCCCCAGGCTCCGTGAGCTGTGAGCTGAGCTGTGAGCCCCAACAGAACTCGGTGTGGGGAGTGGAAGTGGGGGAGCTCCTGGAGAGCCTGGGAGTGGGAACCCTGAAGAGCCAGGAGGTGCCTTCCTTTGGGGAACACCCAGAGCATCTGTAACCGGGGTGAACAGACAGCTTCCACAGAATGCATGGTGTGTGAATCTGGCTGATAGCTAGCTATGAGGCCCGCCCTACCGCCCTGGTGCCCAATCTTTGGTCTGAGTGTGAGCTACACATGTGATAACTTAAGGAATTCCGTATGAGGACAACTGACTTGAAGGGGCTGCGATAAGATTATGAAATCTCTGTGTCTGGTGCTCAGCGAGATGGTAGCCAGTCTCCCTGGACAGGTGTGTCATCCTTTTCTATCTTGTCCTTGTTGTCAGCTGTACTGGTGTGAGAGAGAGTTTCCTTGTGTGGATGAAATCTCCCAGCCATTTCATCGCTATACATGTTATTGACTCAGCCCTGATACTTTTCTTCTAAACTTTTATTTCTTGCTCTCTTCTCTCCCATATACCCTTGTGTCAAATCTCATTAGGCAACATCAACAATCATTTCACCTTCTCACCCAATGCTGGGTCCAATGTGTCCCGCCTGTTGCTTGCATCTCGATTTGACTATGCTGGTGGACTTGACAAAGTCTGGGACTACCAACTGCTCATCTACGTAACTGACGACAACTTGCTGTCCAGAAGGAAGAAGGCTACGGCTCTTGTGGAAACAGGGACGGTGATGTTGAGTATCAAAGTTATTCCTCACCCAACCACAATCCTCACCACTACTCCTAGGGTAAGCCTTTGGTCCTGGGATCCCCAGGTCCCCTGACCCATGAGAAGTGTGGGATAGAGCGAGCTGAGGTATTAGGATATTGCTGGGGTTGGTAGTCATGGCTGCATCAAAGTAGTCAGGGTGGCAAATAACCAACTGGATGAGACCTTGAACTCTTCTGAAGTTGGAGGTTGTGTGTTCGTGCAGGAACCTGTGATAGATTAGACAGTGACCACCTACGGTGCTCGTGGCACCTAGTCAATTTTCACAGCATGTGGCCGGTTGCTGCTTTCACAGCCCTTTCCCTGCTTGGTTGTAAGAGTCATTGCAAATCGATGTCATGAAATCAGAGAGCTTCCAAGTGCGTCCACCTCTTTTGAAGTGTCATCATACACCATACATGCTTTCATGCCAAAAGAAATTATTTCTTCTGTCCACAAATCCTGAATTAATAGTGACACTTGAGCTAGTCATTGTGGTGACCAAAATGGTATCTGTTCTCACGGAGCTCTTAATACATGTCCGTGGTGTGCGAAGTATGGTCTGAGGACCAGTGACGATAGCATGACCTCAGAACTTGTTAGAAATATGAACTCTCAGGCCTCCCCATATTGTTAAAGTTACACCTCACCCAACCACGACCGATCATATGCCCTCTAGTTAGGGAGGTTGGAACCCAACCTCTACCAAACAGACTGAATCAGAGTTCTGGCAGCGTGGCCGAGGGATTTTTGTGTTTAATAAGGCCTCTAGGGGATTCTGAGGTGGGCTCAAGTTTAAAAGCTACCTGTCTTAAGGAGTAGACAAATAACATACAAGTTAGCAAGTGAATGAGGTACAGATCATGGTAATTGCTAGGCAGAAAATAAGAGGCACCATATTACAATCAGGGAGCTTTTGTAGCCTAGTGGGTAGGGAGTTGAACTGCCAACCCAAATGTGGTTGGTTCAAATCCACCAGCTACTCTGTAGAGAGAAGATGGGCAATCACCATCAGTGTGCTTTGTAGCCTCTGAAAACCTGCTGGAAGGTCAGCTATGAGCTGGTTCTGACTCAATGGCAACAAGTTTGAGCTTGAGGGGTTTTTTTGCTAGCATCAGTGTCAATGTGGAGAGAGTTTTAAGCTCTGATGACAGGATTATCTTCTCTGCTCCTGGGAAGGGTTGGCTAATATTTATGCCAACTCTCTCAGTTCTTTTTCCTCCTCTTGGCTTTGGAAAGCTGCACCCCTGGTCAGTAGCCCCATGCTTGGAGCACACCAGAGAAAACATGATCAGAACTCAGAAAAATCCCCTGTGAAAAGCTGCCAACTTCTGCTTCTCGGAGTCTTACCAAGAACAGAATTATGCTTCGTTTCCCTGTGTTTGCATCAATATTACTGCAGTGAGTGGAGGCATACAGTAACCCTACAGATTTGTGGTTACTGTAGGAAGAGGCTGTAAGGTTTCCTGAGTAGGGAATTGTCACCTAACTGGAGCTTAAAATAGGATCCAGCCTGGAAATCTCTGTAACTTGTTTATTCCTCTTCCACTCTAGGAAACAAATGCTGAACTTGAGGTTTCTCTGTGATGTCAGCCTACTCTTCTGGCAGTGACAGGTTATAGTTGAGTGAGCTCTGAAAATCCTACAAGGTGGAGGGGGGAACCCCAAACAGCCTTTATGTCTCATGCCTTCCCAGTGATAGACAATTGCTATATTCATCATCCCTAAGTTACACCATGATTTGACAAGAAAAAAAAAGCAAAGTCAACGGTACTTTTCACATTTAGGAAGGGAAAGAAAAAGAAAGGATCAAATTGGGCCTGGGGTTATTTTTCAGTCCCCTAAAAGATCTAGATTTTTATTTAGTGGGTTTCTAGAAAGATGCTTGGTAAAAGCAACAAAAATTATGAGTATACAGATGTCCCCCTTCAAGATCAAGAACGTAGCGGAAGGAAGTACTCAGACAGGATGGTGCTGAATGTCCGAATGCTGTCACACTCCATTCATCCTCCTCATATTCTGTCATTTAAGCCCAGGATCACTTACCTGATCCAGAAGGAAAATGTTTATTCTCCATCAGCGTGGTATGTCCCTTTTGTCATCACCTTGGGCTCCATGTTGCTTCTGTGTTTCCTGGTGTCCCTGACGATCCTGTTGGCCAAAGCCATCCGCAGACACTGTCCCTGCAAGACCAAGAGGGACAAGAAGCCTCGGTAAGTCACCAGGGAGGTGGGCCCTTGCCACCACTGCCTTAGAGCACTGAGGTCAGGAGAAGGAAAGGTGGAGAGCCAGGGTTCCTCTAAGAGCAGGCTGCCTGCAGTGAGGACAAGGAAAGGAGACAGGAAGGAAGGCGCCCCAGCTGCCCTTAGCCATGAGTTCCCTTCTCATAATCCGATGAGTCATGGAACCATTCTTTTGGCTTCCCTTGTCAGCCTGCCCTGCTCTTGTGGACTCCCAGCAAACCAGCTCCTTCACTCCTTAGAGGAGGTCCTTATCACGGATCAAAGCTTGATGGCAAGTAGTGATAGACTATTCTAGGCCCTCTTTTGAAGGATTTTTAAGCAACTTAATGGAATCATTGTAACTGTTGTCTGCCATCGTGTCAGAAGCGACGCTGACCCTCCAGCAGATTTTCAGAGGCAGTTAATCTCATGAGAGGAGAGTGTTGATCCTCCCGCAGGGCTTCTGGTGGATTTCAACCACATGCCTCTGGGACCGTGGTGGACCTTCTAACCACCAGAGCTCCCTTGATGGAATCAGAAGAAGTACTCAAAAAAAGAAATCAAGCTTTTGGTTCCAATGACTCAACTGGGTCTCTGTGTGACTAAATAATCTTTGTGCTTTTGCTACGATCAGCCACAATCTCTCACTTCTGAAGGGCTGTAAACAGAAGTGTCTTTTCTCTCCTCCTCCTCCTCTCACCTGCTCACTAACATGCCTTTTACTGTGACTGCCTGTGGAGTGTCTTTTACTGGCTGGAGTGAGGTACTAGAGTGAAGTGCAGAGAACACTGTATTACTGCAAACTGCCTTCAGAGTCTGGTTTCCAGTGTTTCAGTAGCTCTTATAACTACAACATGAAGGCTATGACCCTGAGTTCAAATCCTGGTTTTACTTCTTTCAAAGTATATATATGGCTTTGGACCAGTGACAATCTCTATGAGCTTTGATGTACTTATTTATAAAAGAAAACCATCACATGAGTAAATATAAATAAAGCACTTAGCGTTCTTGCTACTATTGACCCCACCGAGTTGCCATCAAGTCAGTTCTGACTCATGTGTCTTAGAGTGGATTTGCGCTCCATAGGATTTTCAGTGGCTGATTTTTCAGGATACTGACAGATTGCATCCCCTAAGTGCCTGGAGGGATTTGAACCTCCAACCTTCTGGTTATCAGCTGAGCATGTTAACTATTTACAGCACTCAGAGATTCCTCCTGATAGAGATAATACATATACTGCAGATGTTACTTCTATTATTATGTTGAATTATTCTTCACAGTTGAGTTCCATTAGGTTTAGAATTCAGGATTCCAAATCTGGCTCCATGCCCAAATATCTCAGGCTTTTAGAACCTCTGCATTTCAGGGTTTCTCACTGGGAAAAGAAGGGATGATAAGACTCATGTGCCTTTTAAAAGGTATTTTGAAGATTAACTAGTCCTGTCAAATAATTTTAAATCTATGGATGAAAGGCTCAGTATAAAAGCGTAAGACATTAGCATAGAGATGTGCATTGCATTTTGCCATATTTATTGGAGAAGTTGTTGCTATTGGCAACCTTGACTTCAAGGTAAGAAATCCTTGAGCATCTGCTGAAAATTTTTAAAAAGGCATTTTTGTTTGGGCTCTACTTGCAAATTGATTTGGAAAAAAAAAATTGTCTTCCGAAGAGTGATGCTTAAGCTTGTGCTTGGTAATGGGATTTGGGCAGAAGTTCTTGAAGGAAATAATCCAGTCGACACTGGGACTCACATGACTAGGTTTTAAATATGCACCTCGAACCTGACTATTTTCAACTTACATTCTAAATATTAATTGTTTCCAACATGATTGACATAAAAGAAATTAGTGTGAAATCCAAACTCAGACCTGCCCTCTCTGGAAATGAATGGCAGCCTGAGGTAGATCTGTGCCCCGGGTAGGGAGTGTAAGCAGGTAATGCACTACCTGCTAACTGAAAGGTTAGAGGTTGAAGTCCACACAGAGGTACTTTGTAAGAGATTTTATGGTTCTTGGAAAAACTAGCCATTGTAAACCCAATGGAACAGTGAGGAGTCACCATGACTTAGAATCGACTCAATGGCAACTGACTTTTACCTTCACTAGCTGTCATCATCAGGGGGGAATATATTCCCTTAGGTTCTATAAAGCAGTAAGTTTCAAACTCTTAGCATTGTCTAGTCTGAAGCCAATAGTGATGAAACTATCATCTATTTTGCTCTATTTGGAGCTGGGTTGAACGCTCAGGGCCCACCAACTTGGCCTACTTTTTGACCCTTACTGCTGGTCCCCTTTTCAATTAACCCCTTGAAATCCAAAGGAACACAGTTGTTCAAAGGCCTCATGTTGTTGTTGTTGCTGTGCACACATCACAGGTAGGATAATTTTTGACATTAATTAATTGTCTTTCTCTTTTCCCCCACGATAGGATGAAGAAAGGAGGTACGTAGAAGACCTGTTTTCTCTCTTTTTATGCTTGGCCTGTTGTACTATGTTAAAGAGCTCCAGCTGGACAGAGAATAATAATCATCTCTTGGGAAGTTTTTGGAGGATGCAGGAAGCGGAGGTCAGATGATGCTGGAGAAAGGGAAGGGGGGAGTGCCTGGCGCACTCACTCAGACCTTTCACTTTGGCCCCTACCCAGCTCATCCAGTTTGATTTAAGCATCTAGAGGTCATTTCCCCTGAATGAGATAAACATTCTCCATGTGTTAAATACCAAACCCATAAAACCCACAGCTGTTGGATGGATTCCCACTCAACAGCCCTGCAAGACAGAGTAGAACTACCCTGTGGGTCTTCAAGATTGCAATCTTTACAAAAGCAGACTGCCACATCTTTATCCCATTGAGGTATTTGCTGGAGGGTTTGAACTGCTGACCTTTCAGTTAACAGCATGCACCTGGGATCCTGTATTAAACCGAGAGTGTATGCTCTCTGCTGCACATGGAGGGCTGAGATGAGACCCTCTCGTCCCTTCCCTTCCCTGCCTCTGATCCTCACCCCTTCCCAGGGCAGCTAGTGCTCTGTGTTGGGCAGATTCATTTTTTTAAAAGAACAAACAATTCTTAATCCTCAAATTTGATGATTTTTCACAGTGATATAGACCAGGTTTTTAGAAAAGAGTGCTGGCTGCAGTCAGGTGAGCTGGAAGAGCGTTTTCAGGAACCTAGAAGAATTGGATAGGATCAATCTGAACTGTTCCAGGCATTGGGAGGGTTCATGAATTGGCCCTGACAAGCCATGGTTTTGCAAAGAACACAGGCTGTGATCAGACGGGGCAGGGGAGCGTGAAGTGGGATTCAGAAATGCATGCTCTAGTCAGTTCACTTATATGTCTAACGTGCACAAGGCATGTAAGGAAGGTCAGTGTCTCTATAATTATTACCGATTATATTGAACAAGTTTATTTTCATAATGAAACTATCTCCAATCTCAGTTACTTTAAAAATAATGCCAAAAATATTTCCTTGTTAAAATAAAATGTATCAACCTAATATCTCCTTTCCAAATTATTGAAGAACAATTATGTCAGTTTGAGGATGAAGGGGCACCTGATTCAGGCCATGGTCTTTTCAATAATTTGTTATGCATCTGAGAGCTGGACAATGAATAAAAATGACAGAGAACTAATTGTTGCCTTTGAACTGTGGTGTTGGAGAGAGCACTGAAGATCCCATGGACGGTCAAACAACAAGTAGTTATGTCACGGGAAAGGCAATCAGAGTCCTTTTTGGAGGTAAAGAGGAGAAAACTTCATCTTACCTGTTCTGGGCATGTTGCCAGGAGAGACTATTCCTTGGAGAGGGACATTAGGCTTGAAAAGGTGGAGGGAGAGAAAAAGCTCTAAGGAAGACCCTTAACCAGATGGACTGACACAGTGACTGCAGCAATGGGCTTGAGTGTGTTAGAAATTATGAGAATGGCGTAGGATAGGAAAGGTGTAGATCTGTTGTTCATTGGTTTACTATGAGTCATACTCCACTCAATGGTACCTAATAACAATGATCTTTCTTACTTCTAAAGTTGTTTGAAAGCCTATTTCTTAGGCCTAATACTAGTGCTAAAAAAGACTGAAGTAAGAGTCACCAATAACCTGAGTTATGCAAATGACACATCATTGCTAGCTGACACTGAAGAGGCCTTGAAGTGTTTGCTACTAAAGGTCAAGGACTATGATCTGCAATATGGATTGAATTGAGCATCAAGAAAATGAAGATTCTCACAACTGGGCCAATTGGCAGCACCATGATAGATGAAGAAGAGATTGAGATGGTTAATAATATCAGCTTGTTCAGCTCCACAGTCAATACTCTTGGCACCAGAAGTCAAGAAATCAAAAGATGAATTGGATTAGAAAATCTGCTGTCAGGGACTTCTCCAGAGTGCTTAAGAGCAATTATATCACTCTAGAGACTAAGGTATGCCTTCTCTAGGCCATGGTCTTTGCAACTATTTGCTATGCGTCAGAGAGCTGGACACTGACCAAAGATGACAGAAGAATAATTGATGGCTTTGAGCTGTGGTGCTGGAGAAGAGTATTGGACATACCATGGGCTGCCAAGAGAACAAACAGATAAGTCATGGGGAGGTTGAAACCAGGCTGTTCCTTGGAGGCAAGGATTTTGACGCTCCTTCTGACATACTCTGGGCATGTTATCAGGAGGGGTGGAAGGATAGAGAGGAAAACCCTGGATGAGATGGATTGACACAGTGACTGGGATAATGAGGGCGGGTGTGTCAGAGACAGTGAGGTTGACTCAGAATTCAGCAAGGTTCAGAGCTGTTGTGCATAGGGTCGCTATGAGTCATAGTCAACTTAATAGCACACAACAACAACAACAACATATGTATAGCCAAATCAACTCGTTGCTGGCAAATCTGTCCTGACTTGTAATGACCTTACAAGACAGAGTAGAACTTCCCCACAGGGTGTCTGAAGCTGTACCCTTCCCAGAGGCAGACTACTACATCTTTCTGTGAACCACCAATCTTTCACTGAGCAGAAGAGAACTTAACCACTGAGCCACTAGGACTCCTTTGTATGAGTATAAATACACACACACACACACACACACACACACACACACACACACACACAGTATTTCTGAGACATCAAGTTTAGAATCATGTGCATAGAGCTAAAAACAATCTTTGTGGTGTCTGCAAGTCTGAATTCAAAGCCTTTTTAGGGAAAGAATCATAGTAGGGCAGGGAATTTTGGTGATACAGTGGTAAAGAATTGTGCTGCCAATGCAAAATACATGGTTCAAATCCACCAGCTGTTCTGGGGAGAAAAGATGAGCAGTTTCCGCCCACGGGATTTACTGCCTCTGAAAACCCACACGTCAGCCATGAGTGGGTTCTGAGTCAATGGTACATAACAGTCAGAGTGCGGTAGAATGTGTAAGGCCAATGTGATGTCTAGAAAGCTTGACTTCTGCCTGTCCTGTTCCCTGCAGAAATGAAGCCCACAAAGAGAGAGGCCCTAGTGGTGAGTGTCATAAGCGCCAGGGGCCCTGGCTTGGGTACTGGGGGGCAGGAGATGCAGGGACCCCCAACAGGCCCTGCCACAGCTTTGTGGGGATGTTTATCATTCAGACAATTGCTTATATTTGGCCACTGGAACAGATTGCTGCGTGACGAGCCCCTGATAGAATTTGTTCCCTCCACTGAACATGTCTGCTGATATATTTGCTGAAGAACTGGATTTCATAAATATTGAATAGTGGTGTTTATTATCTACACCAGCCCTCCAGAAGCATGCGTCGGGGGAGTAGAGCTTAAAGACCAGAACTAGTGCTTCAGTTTTCTGCGGGGTTTATTCTTCCTTCACTCTTGCACAGCCTTGTGGGGAAAGGACAGAGGAGGCTCACTGACTGGATCTGGGGTTGGCTCTCCCCACTTAGACAGGTGACTATGCAGAATCCCCACTTTCTTGAGCTTCAGATGCCTCATCTATGAAATGAGAGAGAATACCTGTCCTGTAGGACAGGTGGGCAAATATTTCTAAGTTGTCAAGTGTCACACAAATGCACGGTTTTATGGGATTGCTGGAGGGTTCCTCATTCCCATTCTTTCTTTTTACTGAGCTGATCACCAGTGGGGAGTGGTGAAACAGTCTACAAATGGAGAGAGGCCCTCTCTAATCTCCTGAGTCTTACTGCTTGAGGCAAGTGCCTTTGATATTTCCATTCAGAGATATCTCCTTGGGATTACGACCATAGAAGAACTGATGTCTCTGAATGATGACATTGGTGAAAAATCCTGATTATGCTATTGATGAACACAAGAATGAATAAACTTGCCAGAATGCATCTTCAAAATAAGGATGGTGACTTTGTTCCACATACTTGGGCCATGTTTTCAGGAGGGGCTAATCCCTGGAGACAGATACCACATTTGATAAATGAAAGGTGAAGAACACCCTCAATTAATTTCATTAATACAGTGGCCACAACAACGGGCTCAAACACAGCAATGATTCTGAGGATGGCAGGGGATCCATATTTGTTCCCATTTCCAAGAAAGGTGACCCACTGAATGCAGATCACACGGTATTATATGCAAGCAAAATCTTGCTGAAGATCATCTAGGAATGGCTGGAACAATACATCCACAAAGAACTGCCACATGTTCAAGCAGGAGTTAGAAGAAGCTGTAGTACCAGAGATATTATTGCTGATGTAAGATGCATCTTGGCTGAAAGCAGAGAATACCACAAGGATAGATATTTGGGCTTTATTGATCATGCAAAGGTATTTGATTTTGTGGATCATAACAAGTGGTGGATAACACTGAGAGACATGGGAAGCCCAGAACAATTAATTTTGCTCATGTGAAACCTATACCTAGGCCAGGAGACCATTGTCTGAACAGAGCAGGGAAACACAGAATTGTTTAAAATCAAAAAAGGTGTATATCAGGGCTATATCCTCTCACCATACCTATTCAAATTGTATACAGAGCAAATCATCTGAGAACATGAACTCTATGAAGAAGAATGTGACACCAGATTTGGAGGAAAGCTTGTCAACAACATGTGGTATGCAAGAGATACAGCTTTGCTTGCTGAAAGTGAGAAGGGCCTGAAACTTTATTGCAGAAGATCAAAGACTACAGCCTTCAAGATGTGTTACAGTTCAACATCAAGAAAACAAAAATCCCCACTACTAGGGCAATAGGCAACTTAATGAAATATGGAAAGAAGGTTGAAGTGGTTAATGATTTTGTCTTACTAGGAGCCACTATAAACACTGTTAGCAACAGCAGTAAGAAATAAAAAAAAAAAACATGTAGCATTGGAAAAGTCTGTAGTCCAGGGCCTCTCTAAGGTACTGAGGAGCAGTGTTGTCTGAGGACTAAGGAATGGCTGATTCAAGCTATGATATTTTCAGTTGCTTCCTAATGAACGTATTAGAAAGCTGGACATTGACTAAGGATGATAGTAGAAGAACTGAAGTCTTTGCATTGCGGAATTGGGGAAGAATGATGACTATCCTATGGACTGTCGAAGGAGCAAACAAACATGTCTTGGAGAAGGTACAGCCTGGGTGTTTCTTAGAGAGAAGGATGATGAAGCTGTTTTACATACTTTGGGCATGTGGTGAGAAGAGGCTAGTCCTTGGAAAAGGACATCATCAAAGAGAGAAATGCAATGGACTGAGCATTGAGCCCAAGTATGACAGGGATGGTAAGGATGACACAGGATAGGGCAGAGCTCAAGTCTGCTGAGTCGCTGTAAGTCATGGTCAGCTTGACGGCACCTAACCACAACCACAACTTGGCTGGGCAAGCAGCTCAAACACAAGTAATGTCCATTTTCTTTCTCTTCCAAATAGGGTAACTGTAGACAAGTGAGTAGGTGAAATTGAAGGTTGAACAGTTCCAGTGAGCTTCAAACACTTCCCTCATCAACACACTAAACAATCTGGCCTTGGCACCATAAGAATGGGGTGTTTCCCTGGGCACAGGGGACAGATGCATTAGGCAGACACCAAGACATTCAAGAAGACAATACTGAGTATGTTGTTGTTGTTATGTGCCATCAAGTCGTTTGCGACTCATAGAGACCCTGTGTACAAGAGCTCTAAACTCCGTTCTATTCTGTGCGAACCTAGCCATCTCAAACGCACTTATTCCTACCACTCCAGTCACAGAATCGATCCGTCTCATTGAAGGTCTTCCTCTCCTGTGCCACCCATCCACTCTGCCAAACATGATGTCCCTCTCCAAGGACCAGTCACTCCTTGCAACATGCCCAAAGTATGTCAGACGAAGCTTCAGAATCCTTGACTCCAAGGAGCATTCTGGCTTCACCTTCTCCAGGACAAACCTGTTTGTTCTCCTAGCAGTCCATGGTATATTCAACACTCTTCTCCAGCACCACAATTTAAAGGCATCAATTCTCTTTCCCTGTTCTCTGTCCAACTCTCCGATGCATAGCATATAATTGCAAAGACTATAGCCCAGATCAGGTGCACCTTAGTCTCCAGCCTGATGTCGTTGCTCTTCCGTACTCTTGAGAGGTCCCTCACAGCTGATTTTCCCAATGCAATTTCGTCTCTTTATCTCCTGGCTGCTGTTACCTAGAGTGTTGACTGTAGAGCCAAGTAAACTAAAACTGTTAACTATCTCAATCTCTTCACCATCCATACTGATGTGGCTGCAATCCTTGACCTATAGCAAGCGCTTCAGGTCCTCCTCAGTTTCAGCAAGCAGGTTTGTGTCATCTGAAGAGGGTAAGGACAAGGGGTGGGGCTCAGAGCAGAGCTAAGGAAAACCTGCCCTACTGCCTCACTGCATTGGCTGAGGAAAGGGAAGACAGTGGGAGGGGCCAGAGGTGCAGGGCCCAGAGGCAGAAGCACACGAAGGTCCACCTGCGCTTGCCTGCAAATGTGCCTGACAGTGATGTCACTTACAATGTGGATCACAGCCATGGCTGCATGTCACACCTACTCTCTTGTCTGTCCGGTGCAGATCTCCTTCCCTCCAAGAGACTTTCCTGTGCCCAAGTCTGATTTACGTTCTCCACAGCATCCTAGGTTTCTCCTGTCGTATATAGCCTTACCAATCTACATTGTAGCACCAGTTTGCCAGCCACTCCTACCCAATTGCAAGCTTTGTGAGACCAGTAATCATGGCTTTTCTACCCCACGTCTGCAGCCTCTACCTCAGAGACTGAGTAAAATAAATGCCAAGGGGCTTTGGGAAAGGAACTTGACCCGACGGGAGTGCAGCCTGGTTTGAGTGAAGACACATAAAGCTGTGCTTGATGCTGCCTTTTTCTTCTCAGGAAACAATCCAGATGAACACGGTCTTTGATGGAGAAGCCATAGACCCAGGTAATGAAGTGGCAATGCTATCCACAAGGGAGTAACTTTCGGGTTTCATATTCTAGGCTGGCAGCATCCTGGATGATCCCATGCAGCTTCCTGCTCTTAATTTCAATTGTTAGTCAGTCGCTTGGATATATGATCTTCGCACATTGCATATATGGTGCTGATCTTCGTATCTTGTATATACGGTGCTGATCTTTTTACATTGAGTGTGGTGCTGATCTTCCGACGATGAAATCCAGAATGAGGTCTTTCCTGAGCACAGCTGACTTGCAGATGCTCAAAGAGATGAGCATGTGTGAGGCCTCAGTGGGTTTCCATGTAGACTCCTGTTTAAAGAGCACACCTGTTTCTTCTTATCTCACCTCCTAAATCATGAGCCAATTTAGGAAGTTGTGAGGCCAACAGCCTGCAGTTTTACCAACTCACTGGGATACTCAGCACCACCCTCTCCCCTGGAAGATCCTCATAGCGTCTTACTAGCAGGAGAGAATCAAAGAACAGCAAAGTTGGCTTCTTTTTGACTCTAGATTGTGGCCAAGTATTTCTTCTTGTTCGGCAAGATGAGCATAAGGTGAAGCTGGCCTCTGAGAGTTCTCAACACCCCTATGAAATTAGCTCCAAATTTAGCTCCTTTACACACATCCCTCCACTCACAAAGGCTCAATTATAGACGCGAATAAAAGGAAGGAAACCAAATTCAGGCGGCAAGTGTGTTGGCTCCCTGCCACCCTCATATGCAAAACGCTCCGGTCCTCTTCTGAAGAATGGCTCTTCTCCAGCGAGGCTGCCGCTGCTACTGGAATTAAATTTCCCTCTATTATTAGGTACTTGTTACCATAATGTGCCCACATTAGCATAAGTGCTGGTGGGATCCACAGCCAGAGAGGCCACTCAGGCTGGGTGGGAGAGCATGAGACGGGGCTCACCTGAAACTCCATCTTCCAGGGTAACGTGCTGGGAGCTCAGGGGCTGTTATCCCAGCTTCGCGTCTCCAAGAGAAGAGGAAAGGAGGAAACCAGTGGGCCAACCGGACTAATGTGAACAAACACACCAATCAGCACCTGCAGGCTCTGCCACCATAAAAATGGCGGCCTCGTATGAGCTCCACTTAGGCCAGATTTGTGGGCCTGTATCCACAAAACTCTGCCACCTCACGTAAACACAAACCAAGATCTCTCCTCTCTCTCTCTCTCTCTCTGAATTCCTTTGAAGAGCAGGTATTCAGGGACATTTACAAACAAGCAGAATAAATCAGAAACTAACTGGCAATCCTGCTAGAAATTGAGCCTAAGGTATCCTAAGCTCACGTGAGTTCAAGATTCAATTCTCCTTCTCATCTTGCAGTTGAGATAGCCTGTGATTCTTCTAAACCTTCTACCCAGAGGTACGGTGTTTTGTCACCTTAAGCCGTATCATTTATGGAAAGGGCAGCCTGGTGAAGACTGCTGTTCACAAGTCTACTTTCTTTCTCTGTTATTCACACCTTCTAGCCGACTTCATCTTTGCTTGGGAGTGGGAGTAGAGCAGAGAGAAGATACAAGAAGAGGGAGAGAATCATTAAATTTCCTGGTTTATTGCTCTTGTTGTTAGGTGCCATCAAGTTGAGTATGACCCATAGCTACCATATGAACCACAGATCTGAACCCTGTCCTATCCTGAGACATCCTCACACTTCCTGACACACTAGAGCCCATTATGGAAGTCACCATGCCAATCCACTTGGTTAAAAGTCTTCCTCTCTTGTGCCGACCCTCTGCCTTTCCCTCTCTAAGGAATAGCCCCTCCTAGCAACATGCCCAAAGTATGTGAGGGGAAGCTCTCTCATCTTTGCCTTCAAAGAGCACTCTGGCTGTACCCTCTCCAAGATATATTCGGGTTTATAGAAGTTTTCTTTTTTTCTTCTAGTTACTGGGGAAATATACGAATTCAACTCAAAAACTGGAGCCAGGCGGTGGAAAAATCCATTAAACCAGATGCCAAAATGGAAAGAAGCCAGGCGGCAGGGAGCTGCTCCACACAGGGTCACTCCTGGTGAGCGAATGGGGCCACCGAAGACCATCACTGACACAGGAGATGGACCGAGGGGCAAAGGACAGTCTGAGGATAAAGGCACAGGCTCCAGAAATGAGGATGGCACACCTATCACCCCCAAGGACAAAAACTCAACCATCACAACTGTGGCTTCCCCTAAACCACACCCAGAAAAGTGAATGAGGGCTGGTAGCCATCCCTTATTACCATCATATTAGGGAAGTGGGGCCCTCACCATCAATGAGGTGCTGACCCATCTCAAGTTCTACGAGGACCAGGGAGGTAGTAGAGCAGATGTGAAATGGGGAAAGAAGGAACATAGAATTCCCCAGACCCAAAAGGATAGATGACAACCCTTCAAACTGCAACCACTCGGTTGCCTTTTTCTGATGCTGTACAGTAGACATTGCAGTCAAGTCTCAAGATTAGTCGTGCTTCTGCTGAGCAGCTGGGCTGGCAATTTGTGGTGCTTTCTTTGCACTGGCTGCTAGGAAGCTCCGTTCAGCTCACTTCCTATTGTAGGTACTGAGGCTGATTCTCCTCTCTGGTTTCAGAAACAATACCACTGACATATCTTCCTTAGTTTATAAATTTATATCAACAACATAAAATCTACGCTTCTGTAAGTCACCTCCAATAAAAGAGCAGAGAGAAAAAAAGGATGAATAAATGAAAAGCTGTACGTCTGGGAAGGGAAAACATAATAGACACCTCTTATTCTCTTTTATTGAGCATAATTTATATTAATTCAACGACACAGATCTAGGCCCCTATGCCCGATAATGTATATACATGTCCCTCCAGAGGCATCCAATGTCCTGATCTCTATCATCATAAATGTCATATACGTGGAATTATAAAGAATGTACTCTTTTGTGTGGGCTTCTTCATTCAGCACTGTATGTGGCAGTCTCGTCCACATTGTGTATAGTAGTAGTTCAGTCTTCTCCACTGCACTTTCTTATCTCATGTATGACTATAACACAACAGTGGCCTAGTGGTAAAAAGCTTCTCTATCAATCCAAAGGCAGGCAGTTTGAATCTACCAGCTGCGCTGAGGGAGAAAGATGGACAGTCTCCTCCTGTGCAGTTTGCAGCTATGAGTCAGTTCCAACTCGATCGTACATAGCACTAACAACACCTGGATTAAGAAGCCCTCAGGTTATTTGGCTGCTAAATGACATTTTAGGGGCTCAAATAAAGAGCTGTTTTTGGCGAGTTCTGTTGGCCTAGTGGCAAGAAGGGGTACTGCAATCCCAGAGGTTCACAGTTCAAATCCACCAGATGCTCTGCTGGAGAAGGAGGAACAATCTCCTCCTGTACCAGTCAGATCTGATGGTTTTTTTAATTTTTTTTTTCAGTCAGATCTGATTTGACGGTACACACACACACACACAAATAATAAACTAAAAAAAATAAATAAAAAAGAGCCGTTTTTATTAAGTATTATTGAGTCAATTTTTGACTCCTAGTGATCCCATGTGATAGAGGAGAATTGCCCTCCTTCATTTTCTTGGCTGTAATCAGATCATCAGGTTTCTCTCCCACAGAGTGTCTGGGTGGGTTCAAACTCTGCCCTTTTGATTTATAACTTAGCAGTGTCTAGCCATTGAGCCACTAGGAGTCCTCTGTAATGATTACAGCCTAGAACACCCTTTGGGACCATCCTGCTAGGTCACCTGAGAGCAGTGTAAGTGGAGTATTGATTCAACATCATTCGGGTACTTTAAGATTCTTATTCTTATTCTTATTCAATTGCATTTCATGTAGCTTTGTCTGTGTCTTCTGGCGAACATAGTCATTTCTTTGGAGGATAGACCTAGGAGTAGAATAGCTCAAGCAACTGCATGAGCTGAAAAATTCCAAATGAGCAGTTCCAGTGTATATTTTCACCAGCACTGACTGAGAGTTCACGTTCTCTGCAGCTTTGCCAATGCTAAAATTGTCAGTCTTTTTAGTTGTAGCCATGCTGGTGAAGCCTGTTGGTCTTTTGATGAAAAGTAAAACATCACCAGTCTTTCAACTCACCTACCCGCTCCTTCCCTGCATCCAGGGACTTGCATAACCACCAGATCTGAGTGGAGACACTCAGGGGGAAGCTGCCACAAACCAAGACTTCCTTTCACCTATTGGTGTGATCAATGCACATCACAATGACAAAATAGGAAGTAAAACTTTCCAATGTCTGCCTCGTCTTTGCCCTGGGATGTGCTCCACATCAGCTGTGGACTCTGTATTAATTGCCTATGGCCAACTGTAACCGATTATCCCAAGATGGCCTAAACCAACAGAGATTTATCCTCCCACAGTTCTAGAGGCTGAAAGGCCAAAATCAAGATGCTGGGCAGGTTCATACTCTATGTAAAGGCCCTAAAGGAAAATCTCATCCTTATCTCCTTCTTCGCTTCGGGTCTTGCCAGCAGTCCTCAATATTCCTTGACTTGTAGATCCATCAACAATCTCTGCCTCCATCATCACATGGAGGTATCTCTGTGGATCAGTACCCATGTCTCTTCTCTCCGATAACACCAGGCAGATCGGACAGATCAGAGATTACCCTAATGACCTTATCTTCTCTTGGTTGTGTCTGCAAAGACACTGTTCAAGGGAGACCTATCACAGATTACTATTTCAATGGTATCTTTTGAAGGGTGCAATTCAACCCTTAATGAATGTACCCCAGTAACTACAGGAAAGGACCAAGTGAAAGTTTATTAGATCAACATCTGCTTGCCAGTAAGGAAGACAGGTAAGAATTCACAGGCTTTTCCTGCAGGGAGAGATGGGGACTGTCCTGCAATTGAACAACTTCGAAGAGAGCACTTGTCCTGTTGATTGTACGTCAGTGTGCCAGCGTGACTTCTCAAGAAAAAGGGAACATTTGAAAAATGCCCAATGCTGGCCTAGATCAGGCGTGATTTATTAAAAAGGTTTGGTTGCCAGGGAACACCCTTGAATGGGTTTAAATTTTGCAAAAGGAGGCAGAGCTGTTCATTTGTGTAGGTTAAAGTGGGTGAAGTGGCTGATTACCCATTTAAGATTTAGCTAGTGTGTGGCGTCCTGAGTAAAATGCCTTCCTCAGAAGCTCTCGGCCTCAATGCAAGTAAAATGAGGCTCAGAGAAGGCTGAAGGGGGACTTAATAACTGTTTATAAGCCCATTAAGGATGATTAAAAGGAGGGCGGCGAGCAGCTGTTCTTCTTTCTCCAGCGATGACGGGTCAAGAGGGAATAGCGTTTAAAGGCCAGAAGAAGAGATTTCGGTTAGGAGCAGGGAGGAACTTCCTGAGGGCTGGGTCTGTTTGAAGAGCCCAGAGTCTTCTCTGGTGATGGGTAGGAGGCGCCTGTGGACTTTCGGACCTCAAAATGTGAGTGGCTTACACCTGTTCTCCTCAGGAACCTGAGAAATGGCAGCGGAGCGGCCCACACGGGTTCAGACTGAGCTTATGTGTATTCTTTTCTTCTGCGCACATGACTGTTTGATTTGAGGGAACCCAGCAGACTGAGTTTCAGAGTTGAGACCATTCTGTTTCAACATTGACCACGTTTGGTGGTGGGGAGCAGAAAATGTACTGAATAAACGAAGTCAAGAACTCTTGTGAATCTTGTAAACATTTCCTCATAGTTCTCTCTTGAGGCCTTGTTTTTGTGGTGTTGTTAGGTGCTGTTGATTTGCATACTACTCATGGTGACCCTATCAATAGTGGGTCTGAACCCCGTCCTATCCTGTGCCATCCTCACACTTCCTGACACACTAGAGCCCATTGCGTCAGTCACCGTGTCAATCCACCTGGTTGAGGGTCTTCCTCTCCTTTGCTGACCCTCCACCCTTTCAAGCATCATGTTCCTCTCCAAGGAATAGACAGACCCTCCTAGCAGCATGACTCCTAGCAACATGTGAGGTGAAACTTCACCATTCTTGTTTCCAAAGAGCACTCCAGCTGCACCCTCTCTAAGATAGATCTATTTGTTCTTTTGGCTGTCGATGGGATGTTCAGTGCTCTTCTCCAACACCACGGCTCAGAGGCATCAATTCTTCTTTTGTCATCCCTATTCATTGTCCAGCTCTCAGATGCAAAGGCAAGTAACTAGAAAGACCTCACCTGAATCAGACATACCTTAATCCTCAAACTGACAGCATTACTCCTCAATAATTTGGAGCGGTCCCTATTGGCCGTCATCAAATGGGGCCCTGACTCATGGTGACCCCACACATAGTGAAACAAAATGCCTAATAGTCATGTACCATCCTCACAATTGGTTACCGACTGGACCATTGTGATTCACAGGATCTTCGCTGGCTGACTTTCATCAGGTCTTTCCTCCTAGTCCATCTATGGAGTCTAGAAACTCCATAGAAAACTGTTGCGCATCACAGCAACATGCGAGCCTCCAGTGGCTGAGGGCTGGGGACTGTGTGGGAGGGGCACTGCCTGAAGAGAGACCCCGGGTCTGCCACGAGGGAGGTAAGAAGTCTATTGCTGATACCCCAGTGACTTCTCCCCAGACCTTAACTATGTGAATTCAGGGTTACCAATGTCTTATTCATGGCAGAATTGGGCCAAATACATCTGAGTTGTTGTTAGATGCTGTCTAGTCGATTATGACTCACAATGACTCTGAACAGCAGATCTGCACCTGGCCCTATCCTGGGCCATCATCGTCATCACCGATACACTTGAGCCCATTATTACAGCCACTGTGTCAATCCATCTTGCCGACGATCTTACTCTTTCTTGCTGACTTTCCACTTTTTCCAAGCATGGTGTCCTTTTCCAAGGATTCATAATTGTGAAATAACTTAAAACGGTGTCAAATTCTGACATTTGAGTTTTGCTTTGTGCTCAGGAGGAAGCAGGATCCACTTCCCTGTTGGCCCATGTCAAAGAGCTTGAGGCTCCAGAACAAAGCCTGGTAAATTACAACCTGACTCCACACACACTCTCATGTCTCTGGTTCTATTTTCTGTCTTTTTATTTAATGTGTTTTGTGATGGCCAAGAAAATTAAGCAGCAAAATGAATGAGCATCGAAAATGATCACTATTGGAACTCGGGCATTTCTCATTTCAAACGTAGCGTGTGTGTGTGTGTGTGTGTGTGTGTGTGTGTGTGTGTGTACCTCTCATTCATGTAATAAATATTTATGGGGCATCCACTGCGTGCTAGATGTGGAGAATCCA